CACTTCTTTGATCACCACCACCGAGACCACCTCACACAATACTCCCAGCTTCACTTCTTCGATCACCACCACCGAGACCACCTCATACAGTACTCCCAGCTTCACTTCTTCAATCACCACCACCGAGACTACCTCACACAGTACACCCAGATACACTTCTTTGATCACCACCACCGAGACCACATCCCACAGTACTCCCAGCTTCACTTCTTCAATCACTACCATTGAGACCACCTCACATAGTACTCCCAGCTTCACTTCTTCGATCACCACCACCGAGACCAACTCAAACAGTACTCCCAGCTTCACTTCTTTGATCGCCACCACTGAGACCACATCCCACACTACTCCCAGCTTCACTTCTTCAATCACCACCACTGAGATCACATCCCACAGTATTCCCAGCTTCACGTCTTCGATCATCACCACTGAGACCACCTCACACAGTACTCCAAGCTTCACTTCTTTGATCACCACCACCGAGACCACCTCACACAGTACTCCCAGCTTCACTTCTTCAATCACCACTACTGAGACCACATCACACAGTACTCCTGGCCTCACTTCTGTGGTCACCACCACCGAGGCAACCTCACACATTACTCCTGGCCTCACTTCAATCACCACCAGTGAGACCACCTTACACAGTACTCCCACCTTCACTTCTTCAATCACCACCACCAAGACCACTTCACAAAGTACTGTCAGCTTCACTTCTTTAATCACCACCACTGTGACGACCTCACACAGTACTCCCAGCTTCAGTTCTTCAATCACCACCACCAAGACCACTTCACCCGATACACCCAGCTTCACTTCTTCCATCACCAACACTGAGACTACCTCACACAGTACTCCCAGCTTCACTTCTTCAACCAGCTACTCCACAGTCAGCACATCCACAACTGCCATCACCTCACATTTTACTACCTCAGAGACTGGGATGACTTCCACACCTGTAACTCCAGCTTCTCAGAGTACAGACATCCCAACCACAACCGTACGAACTCTCACCCCCTCATCTGTGGGAACCAGTACTTCATTGACTACAACTACAGACCTTCCCTCTATACCCACCGATATCGGTAACTTATCAACCCCAACACGCATCATTTCATCCTCTCCCTCCATCCAAAGCACAGAAACATCATCCCTTGTGGGCACAACCTCTCCCACCATGTCCACTGTGAGAACGACCCTCAGAAGTACTGAGAACACCCCAACCACTTCCTTTAGCACAAGTATTGTTGTTACACCTGAAACCGCAACACAGACCCCTCCTGTACTGACGTCTGCCACTGGGACCCAAACATCTCCTGTACCTACTACTGTCAACTTTGGAAGTACAGATTTCTCCACGTCCACTCTTCACACTCTTACTCCATCAACAGCCTTGAGCACGATCATGTCAACATCACAGGTTCCCATTCCTAGCACACGTTCCTCCACCCTTCAAACAAGTGCTTCTACTCCCTCATTGCAAACTTCACTCACATCTACTAGTAAGTTCACTACAGAATCTTTCACTAGGGGAAGTACATCTACAAATGCAATCTTGACTTCTTTTAGTACCATCATCTGGTCCTCAACACACACTATCATGTCCTCTTCTCCATCTTCCGCCAGCATAACTCCATTGTTCTCTACCACCACTCATTCTGTTCCTTCTTCAGCATACACTTTCAGTACAGAAAATGTGGGCTCCTCTTCTATCACAGCCTTTCCTACTCTCTCTTCCTCTGCAACCACCAGCACTTCTCCAACCAGCTCCTCTCTGACCACAGCTCTCACTGAAATAACCCCGTTTTCTTATATTTCCCTTCCCTCCACCACACCCTGTCCAGAAACTATAACAATTACCATAGTCCCTGCCTCTCCCACTGATCTGTGTGTTGAAATGGATTCCAGCACTGAAGCTACTTCTCCTCCCACCACCCCATTAGCAGTGCTTCCCTTTACTACCGAAATGGTCACCTGTCCTAGCTCCATCAGTATGCAAACTACCCTTGCTACATATATGGACACTTCTTCCATGACGCCAGAAAGTGAGTCCAGCATCACAACGAATGCTTCCAGTTCCACTGGCACTGGGACTGTACCCACAAACACGGTTTTCACAAGTACTGAAATGCCCACCAGTGAGACCTGGTTGAGCACCATCTCTGTGATCCCTCCACATCTTCCTGGCGTCTCTACCGTCCCGCTCACCACGAAACCAAGCAGTAGCCTTCCGACCATCCTGAGGACTTCAAGCAAGTCAGCACACTCCTCCCCATCCACCACCAGGACTTCAGAGACACCAGTGGCCACTACCCAGACTCCTACCACCCTTACGTCGCGCAGGACAACTCCCACCACTTCTCAGACGACCACACAGTCAACGTTGACTACCACTGCAGGTTGGACCTTCTGCCTCTCTGTTCCCCTCCTTCCTTCCCTGCAAAATTTCTATGTCACCGAGATCAGGCTTTATCCTGAACTTCCCTTGTTTCTTGTGTTTCCCAGGCACCTGTGACAATGGTGGCACCTGGGAACAGGGCCAGTGTGCTTGCCGTCCGGGGTTCTCTGGGGACCGCTGTCAGTTCCAGATCAGTTGCCGCAACGGGGGTCAGTGGGATGGCCTCAAGTGCCAGTGCCCCAGCACCTTCTATGGTTCCCGTTGTGAGTTTGCTGTGGAACAGGTGGATCTAGGTGAGTCGCCAGAGCTATGCCTTCTGCACTTCCTCCCAGAGGCTGTCACTGACTCTCCCCAGACTTACCCCTCTGTGGGGCCTGGAGGCACCCATGGCGTTTTGCTCAGTCCTTCCCTCCCTGCCATCTCTCCCATTCCCTCCACTGCCCCGTGTCATGCTCACCCTTAGGAGGTGGCTGGGACCACACTCCCTCCTGGGGTCATCTCCTGATTTGGGCTGCTTGGAGCTGTATCAGTTTCCAACTGCCGCCCTACCAACAAACACAAGCCTCGCTGCTGAAACAACATGACATTATCATGTTAGAATTCTGTAGATTAGAAATCTGATGTGGGTGTCACTGGGCTGAAATCAAGGCACCACCAGGGCTGTGTTGTCTTCCAGAGGTTCCAGGAAATAATACATTTTTTTGCCCTTTGCAGCTTCTGGAGCCTCCAACATTGTGTATGCCAGGGCCCCTGGCTCCATCTTCCAAGCCAGCAAGGCTGCACCTCTCTGTGTCTTTCTGCCATAGCCTCATCTCCCTCTGATGAACTCTGGCCTCCTCTATTGCTTCTTCCACTGTTAAGGACTCTTGTGATGACTTTGCCTCCTCCCCAAATAGTCTATGTTAATTTTCTCAAGATCAGCTGATTAGGCCGGGTGCAGTGGCTCACACCTGTAATCCCAGCACTTTGGGAGGCCGAGGCGGGAGGATCACCTGAGATCAGGAGTTCGAGACCAGCCTGGCCAACATGGTGAAACTCTCTACTATAAATACAAAAATTAGTTGGGCATGGTGGCAGGTGCCTGTAATCCTCACTACTTAGGAGGCTGAGGCAGGAGAATCGTTTGAATCTAGGAGGCGGATGTTGCAGTGAGCTGAGGTTTAGCCACTGCACACTAGCCTGGATGACAGAGGGAGAGCGAGACTCTGTCTCAAAGGAAAACAAAAATCAGCTGATTGTCTTATAATCCCTGCCGTTTGGAAGGCTGAGGAGGGAGGATCGGTTGAGGCCAGGAGTTCATGACCATCCTGGGCAACACAGCGAGAACCACATCTCTACAAAAAATTTTAAAAAATTACCTGGGCATGGTGGCTCATGCCTGTCGTCCCAGTAACTTGGGAGGCTGAGGTGGGAGCATCACTTGAGCCTGGAAAGTCAAGGCTGCAGTGAGCTACGATCCCACCATTGCACTCCAGCCTGGATGACACAATGAGACTCTATCTCAACAATAAAAAAAAGTTAGGCTGATTAGCAATGGAATTCAATCTGCACCCTTCATCCTCCCTTGCCATATGGTGTAGCATACTCACAGTTCTGGGGATTTGGACATGGATCCCCGCCCACCATGCGGGCAGCCAGGAGGGACCCCAGGCTGACCGCTGTCTTCCTGCCTGCTTTCCCTCATCTCCACACCTTCCTTCCTTCCTTTCTCTCTCTCTCTTCTCTTTCATCTTCACACAATGCTTTCTCCCTTTCTTTCTCTCTCTCTCTCTTCCTCTCTCTCTCTCTCTCTCTCTCTTTGTTTTTCATTTTCTAGAGACGGAGTCTCGCTCTGTGGCCCAGGCTGGAGTGCAGTGATGCGATCTCGGCTCACTACAGCCTCTGCCTCCTGGGTTCAAGCGATTCTCCTGCCTCTGCCTCTGGGCATCAGTCCTCAGGGATCTTGGAGAGGAGCAGCAGGAGGAGCCTGTGGGTTGGGGAGGGGGTGGTGTTGGTGGCTTCAGACAGACGCAGATAGGGAAGTGACCGGGGATGTGCATGCTGTGTGCAGATGTAGTGGAGACTGAGGTGGACATGGAAGTGTCTGTCGATCAGGAGTTCTCGCCGGACCTCAATGACAACACTTCTCA